TATTGTACTATGGTTTGTTTGGCACACAGTCTGTCCTCAGACAAGTGTGAAATATATATATATATATATGTATATATATATATATGTATATATATATATATCGAACAATGCATGCCGTATAAGCGTGACATGGCCGATATTCTGCACTTTGGTTGAGTGCAACATGAACTGCAATGCTTCACAGTGGAAGTGACTGTCGAAACAACGGCAGATAATGAGCGAGCATGTATGCCTGATTGGGTTGTGACACTGGATCCCCAGGCCGACGGTCAGTAGACGGGTAGGACAGAATGGTCAATTCAGTAGTGTTGTAGACTGTAGTCGAGTGAAACGTTTACCGCACATCACGTGACCGACCGTTACAGCCTACCCCCACACGCACGTACGCACCTCATGCGGACTTACTCTGCTGCAAGGTCAATCAGCCTCAGCGAATCCGCATTAATTGGTTCGTGGACTGCCCAACGTGATGACAATCCTGGTAACGCTTGCGTCAGTTTGTGCCGATCTGTCTGCCTGCGGTTGGTGCTTTGCTTGCTCACCGGCATCCAGGTCGGCTACGTTTACATACTGGAAATAGAAAAACTACTTAATTCACTATTTGCGTACTTATTGACTTATACGGAATACAACAAGTAGCTTTGAATCGCTCAATTTGTGTAAAAATTACGAACTATGTTGAGCTGAAAGAATTGGCAAGGAGGACAGGGGGATTTTGATGAGATCCGAAATGAGTAGATTAGTTCTCCAGTGTGTTGCACGCCTTAAAATAACCTCATGGATTCTGTGATTCCATTTCTTGAGCGACTTGTCGAATGGATTATAGCTAAGACGAGAGGTTATGTACATCATTTGACCGGTTTAATGTGACACTTTCGTAGAAGGCTGTCACAGACAATCAACAAAATAACAACAACAACACCGACAACAAAACGTTGCAAGTCGCGAAGATCCAAACGTGCGATTAACTTGATCCTGTGATCGGAACGAGGTTAGTTTCGGTGTAATTAATGAAAAACACTATTGTGCACTATTTAAATATCAACTTAAGCTAATATTATTGTAGTGTATTGTTCGTTCCCGTCTGTCAAGGTGAATGTGCTCGATATTTCTATCTGGCTTGCCCATTCAAAGTAGTCAATACTGATGAAACCAGAACCCGGCAGTCGATCGTCAGCTATTTGATGGCGTTCAGACCCCGTCCACTGACGAACGCGTATAATCACGATATATATATATATATATATATACATATATATATATGTTTGATGTTCAGTTGTTCCCCGAGCTTGGCAATTGTATTGCAAACGTTTCATCACCAATCGAGTTGACATTCTCAATGCAGTAACTGGGCGAGCGCTTGTTGTCAAGCTTCAACTCGCGAGCAGCTATATTTTCCACAGGAGTTCTTACAAAACGACATCCTCCCGTCCAGCGTTAGTCATCGACCACTAGTCAACCACCCAGAAGCCTGGAAAATAGCAATGCGATATGATAGAAGCATGGTCAGAATGATGATCACCGACGCTCATAGACGTCTACACAAATACGACAACATCGTGAGGGAAGAAATGACAACTTGCAC